CAGGCTCCCAGTTGCTTTACGAGGGTGAGTGAGTGACAGACGGTAAAGAGGGGAAGCCACTCCAGTGCAGGCCCTGTGTTATCTGACTCACTTTTGGACAAGCTCATTCGGCTTAGTCAGCGCCTTCTGACAATCAGGTTGTCTGAGGAGAGCTGGCTGACAGGCTGGTGTGAGTCATGCCTAACCCAGCCATCGTCCCCTCCTAGCCATCGTCCCGGGGACACCTGGACGCTCCTCACTCAGGGGAATGCGGGGCACATTCACCACACACAGGGCCAGATGCCCAGAGACGGGCCTGGGGAAGAGCGGCATCTGCCCATCTGCTCCTGGGGCTTGCGTGTGGAAGGCCCCAGGCCCTCAACGCCCGCGGGCCCCACTTCTGAGCTTCAGGAAGATCGTGCTGTCAGCATTTCCTGCTCCAGCAGCCAGCTCAGCAGTAAAAGGACCCTCTGAAAACAAAGCCGCCCCCACCCCCAGGGCTCACCCTTCAACCACTTCAAACAGGTCTGTAGGTGGCATGTGGCCTGAAGATGGCCAGGGACAGACACAGGCCCCAGGGGTGAGGGAAGAAAACCACCTCACAAGCCTCAACAAGGCTGCTTCCCGATATTGCCCTGCCTGTTGGCGTCAGGAAAAAGCGCCCACAGGAAACCTTACTACCTCCCCGGAGCCTTGAGTTGCCAAAGACCACGAGCTGCTGTGGCCTGGCAAAGCCAGGTGTCATCAAGCCCAGACAGCCTTTGGGATCAGATGAGCACTGGCCCCGAAGTTGGGAGGGAAGTGGGGGGGGGCGGTTCTGCAACCAGCCTGGTACACCGTCATCTCCTCATCTGAAAATGGGACAGCAACGCACCACGTAAGCCCCAGGTGCCTTTCTGCTCTGCACCCACGGAGCATGAGCCCTGTTTCCTTCTGAGCAGAGGGCTCTGACACTCACAGCTGGGACACTTTATACTCGGGACACCTACCGCCTGACAAGTGTGTCCCTCACACTCTAGCAGCGGAGATAAACTGAAATCAGCAAGTAAATAAGTCAAGTGTAAGTTATGATAAGGAGGTGAGGAAATGAAGAATGAAATGTGATTGTCTCTGGGGTTATGTGTCCCCAGAGTGACATGGGCGTCAGGAGGCAATAGAGGAGCGGGGTGGCTAAGCAGAGTGGGTGTGGGGTACAGAGGCGATGAGGTTGGGAAGCCAGGGGGCGCCCCAACAGGCTGGGCCTCCCAGGCTCTAGGGGAGTTAGGATCTCTTTGTGAGAACAGCGGGGAACGTGCCAAGGGTTGTATTCAGGGTGGACAGGACATGACCTGAACGCTGCAATCATCAAGGGGCCGTCTGCTTTTCTCCTGTGTGTTTCCTAATCAACACAGCTGGGAAAAACAGCTGTAACACAAGTACCTTTCCCCTCACCCTTTCTTCAAAACTTCTCCAGTGTTTCTGCCCCGTGCTCTAGCTTAAAGCAACCAAATAGCTCTCCCTGTACCTCCCTCCTTCCCCCTGTCCCTTTCTCTTTCCCTTTCTGAACCACTCAGGAAAAAATAAATAAATAAATAAAATAACAAAAAACCTACACGGACAAAATGCTGCTTTTGGATAAAAATCTACAATGCTCTGCAAACACGGCTAGTATTGTGTTAAACACATTTGGCCAGTTTGTATATGAAGCTGAACTAGTTTGCCCTCCAAGCTGCTTCCTATTAAAATGTTTGCATGCGCACTGTCCTTACTTCCGGCAGCTGGCGTTCCCTCTCCAGGCGAATGCTGGCCCCGGCACAGCCCCATCCCAGGAAAGGGGAGTTACAAATCCCAGGACAGAAGGGAAAGGCCTGCAGGGGAACTCCCTCCTCCTCCTCCGGGTTAGCGGGGAGGGGCGGAGGGTGGGGGGACCAGCAGGCCAGACAAGAGCCGGCTGCTGGCTCCAGGAACCCTCTTCCAAAGGTTCTCCCGGCTCAAAACTCAGCAGGGAAAGTGAGTGCACATGTGTGTGCTCAGCAGTGAGAAGCAAAAAAAGAGTTCTTTGGTCGCAGGCCCAGAACGTCTCTGGCAACCTCAAGCCAAGGGAGGTTTGCTGGAGATGTGAGGCGCGCTCCAAGAATGGAAGGAAAAGTAGGCAGATGAGGCTCAGAAAGGGCCAGAACTCAGACGGTGCCAGGGGCCTCAGCAGCAGGGGCTCTGCCAGCTTCACCCATGCAGTGTTTCTGTGAGTGGCATCCAGCTACGTCTCCAAGAGGAGGATGTGCTTGGTCTAATGGATCATGGGTCCCACCAAGACTGTCCAGTGCAGGAGAAGTGGACCCCAAAGGACCCCAAACGCTGGCTGCGGCTGCCAGGATGCCTGGATGACAAGTGGGCAAAGGCAACAGATGTCCATGGTTATTTCCATTCATTAAAAGCAGCGAGAACACCTGCTCAGGAAAGCCAAACACTGTTTAGGTAACAGGGAACACTTCGAGTGAACTCATGGCTCTGGAAGGAAGAAACAGGCCCAGATTAGGGACCAACAACTTAGCCACTTGGCTCTCTCTGTGTGGGGCGGGGGCTCACACCAGTTTCGCTGGGTCATTAGAAAATGGCCCTGGGAGGCTGGGCCATGCCTCACACGGCAAGGGCCGTTTGGAACAATTTTCAACCATGAAGCCCAATTTTTGTTGGTTCTGTTCTGTCTCCTGTGAGTTTTCCTGCTGTTTCTTCTTCTGTGCTATCCCTGAGACGGACACAGTGCAAGGCAAGCTCACACTGCATTCTTGCCTGCACATTTAGAGAGTCGCGTATTAGCCAAAGTGAGCGGCCTCGTTCCAAGCCAGCCTCCCCACCTACTCCTAAATTAGCGGTCATCAAACTACGGAACAAGAGGGAAAGCGCTGGAAGAGACGTTTGCACTCTCCCCACATTCAACTACTATCAGCGAAAAAAAAAAAAAGAAAAGAAAAAACAGGGTAGTCAGTGGAAAGCAGTCTCCTGTGTGGGTGTCTGCAATTCAATATCCTTTCATTTCCGATTCTATTTCGAAAAGCCACATTAGTTCAACTTTAACTTTCCAAGCCCCTTTTTCTTGGGCTAGAAACACAGCTCAAACAGCCTAACGCTGGCGGGAGGGTGAGCCTGGGGGAAGGAGGGAGCAGCAGGGGCCAGGTCAGAAACATTCTGCAAAGCTGGTCTGTTGAGATCTTTCACATCCTGCCTGGACATGCCAGGGATGACACAGGATACCCTCCGCCTTGGCTCAAAATCTGAAAAGACTATCCCCCGGCCAGAGCAGTGGCACGGTTTGCACCCACACACTCCAAACACGAAATGACTCAGTGGGGACAGCTCACGCAGCGTCCAGCCCTGCCTGCAGAGAGCCCCCACTGCTGACCGCCTTCCAAGGGCTCGGTGGAGCTGCAAAGTCCTGGTGTGGGGCCACGGGATGTGCTATTCTGGCCTGCCTCCTTCCGGTGAGACTACCACATCCTGGACACCTTTCTAGCAGCATGTTCCTAAACGGGCACGCACCAGCCTTCCCGTGGGCTATTTAAAGTCCAGCCGTCCCACCACACCGAAAGGCCAGTCTCCGTGCCTCCACGGATGCCATGGGCTTGGGCAATACGGGGGCAGCACCCTGGCTGGCTTAGGGGGCTCTAACTTTACTACCGCATAGCTGTATGGCCCTGGGCAGGTTACTTATGCTCTCTGAGCCTCTATAAAATTTTTCCTCTATAAAATGGGGATAATATAGCTATTGTGTAGATGAGGTGAAAGTTACAAGGGAAGGCAGATCCTGGCCCAACATTAGAGCTTATCGAATAGAAAGTATTGTGATTATACTGTGACCCATAAAAATACTTTGAATGATTCACCCTTACTAGTAATTCCACCGGAGCTCATAGAAATAATAGGCAATTGTGACCTTGCTAAGGTCCCGTTCACTACACGGGGCCCAGAGCCCTGATGAACAGCACAGACGAAATCAGCCTGTGTGACCCCACTCTGGTCTGTCTTCACAGCCCCCATCCAGGTAAAGTTATGCAGAGAACTGGAAGAGAAGACCCCTCCCAGCTCTCAATCTATGATCTTTTCCTGGGCCAGCAACACTATTCCCACCTACTTGGAGTCTTCCTTCCATGTGAAGTCTGGAAAATGACAAGGGCGGGAAGAAACCAGAAAACGCAATCTCACTGACCACACGCCACACAGCAAAACCCAACCTCCACAATCTTAACATGCCAACCGGGGGAATTTCTGATGGTCTAATAAGAACCGGATTTACTTTCAGGTATGAAGACTTTGCTGAACAAATCAACACAACAAAAATGACTGCAAGGAGAGCATGTAAGTAGAAAGCAAAACATTTTCGAACATAGCACTTCCCCAATTGAGTTCACTATCTCTCAGTTTTGAAAAACAAAAAGCTTCTATACTTAGAATATATTATAATTTGCAGTATACACTTTTTGCAGGAGAGTCATATGCATATTAGCATACTAAAGCTCTGGGAAGTTCTGTAAGGAAGAAGTCCATTTGCTTTGTTTTAATTGAAAGCTTTTAAAACTTTCTAAAGTATGTAGTATTATTTAAACAAAACAAAACAAAACAAAAACCATCTAGTAACACTGCAAACACCCAATCTGGGCTACCTGGCTTGTTTTCAAACCTAGAATGCACAAATGAACAAAAATTTGCAATAACAGTTGCTTCAGGAACAGGAACAGAAGCGAGACTCAATTTTCACTGCTTACCTACAATTTCCTTATAAACCTATTGTTTTCTTTTATAAAAATGTAAAGCACTATTTTTAAAACTCTTCGATTTTATAGGCTGCTTATTACAGAAGCTTCCATGAGCCCCCTCCTTCCCCCACCCCAGGCCACACTCAGCATCTGCTAAATACTCTCCTTTGGCCCAGGTTTGAGTGGCGCTCTCACCAGAGGAGCTCTGGTACCTGTTGACCTCTCCAGGTTTTGCCAAGTTTTCACCAGGGCACCTGAGAGCTTGGTTCTGCAGGTGGGGGGCACACATACCTCGTGGTCAATTTTGATAAGTGCGATGTCCGCCTTCTCATCCACGTCCTTGATTTTGGCTTCGTAGGTGGCGCCATTCTTCAGCTCAACTTTGACCCGGTGCTTGTTGGTCACCACGTGGGCATTGGTCACAATCAATCCATCTTCGGACACGATAAACCCAGATCCACTGGCCACCGGCACCTCCCTCTTAGAAAAAGGAAGCCTAGAACCCAAAGGAGCCCCAAGTTACGCTTGAAACACCTGAAAATCAACTCGACACATGGATGAATTGTTCTATAACAGCAACCCACATCTAACCATCGTTACCATACATAGTGGGCTTACTGAACATCGGAAAAGGGAACATTGGGTTGACTTTTACATGCATCAAAAAATTCCACTTAGGAAATGTTCTTCAGAGCCAGAGGTTCTTAAAACATCTAGAAGGGTCAAGAATGTAGATTTAAATAGGCAACCGGGAAAATATCCTAAGGGAGAAATGTTGTCTTCCCATAGGAATATGTTCAGTGGCTCTTGGACACTTTAAAGGGCCTCAGAAATCTTTCTGATGTTCTGCTCATGGCAGTGTGTGTTGCTGGAAGCCTCCGAGGCCATAGGAGAAAGGAAGCCCTCTTTACTTGCGAAACAATTCGATGTGGACCACGGCCGGGGCGATTTTCTCCACCACGTCGGCAATGAAGTTGTATTTATGGCGCAAACTGTTGGGGTCTTCCTGCCCTGAGAACAAAAGCAAAGAGGAGACTTATAAACCTGTGCTCTGTGCAGTCGTTGCCTGGAGAAAGGTATGGGTTAAAGGGCCTTTGGGGACCTGGGGGCAAGGGGGTTGGGGACAAGGACCTCTGGCTCTTGACGAGATATCCACACAGATAAGACAGTGACATCTATCACACACGACGTCTTTCTTCTTTCAGCAGTTTCACCACGAAAATGTTTTGCCGGAGGCACCAGTAAATACCTACCAGCTATTCCACACTGGCCACCCAGGGGTCACCTTGGCATGGCATCCTTCTCCTCCAGTGTCCCTTCCCCAACTCCCGCAGCTCCACAAAAAAGCAGCCCTTTTCAGCACACGGCCACCATCGAGGGGAGGGCTAAGGCTGTTTCTGACAAGATGCCCACCAGACGCCATAGGTTTTAAAAGACCATGATGAAAAAGCACGAAAGCAAAGGCACAGGTCCTGCCTTTCCCGTCGATACCACGAGGTGAACAGAGGCCACCACCGTCCGTCCCCAGAGCCATTTCCTACCACATCTTAACCATTCACTCCCACCCCCAGAACATCTCAGGCCCAAAGGCACAAGAGGTGCCTTGATACTGCTGGGAAAAAGAGAAAGCGAGAAACGAAATGACAGTAATTTTCTAGATAAAAATACACACTGTAATTAGTGAACCCCCGTATGGTGGGCATTTTCAAAGCTTCTTTCAGACAAAGCTATCACACATCCCAGTGTGGGGCTCCCAGCAACGCAAAAAATTAGTTTCCACCAACAGACATACACACTGAGGGCGTCTGATTCAGAAATGAGCTCCTGGAGACTCAGGGTGCCAGGGCACCCATTTTGCTGGCATGGTGGGTGGCAGAGGCAGTGTCACCCCAGAAGTACAAGCTCGGCCTGTTACCTTGGCCCCAAATCTGGGCCACCTGATATCCCCCAAGTCTCTCTCTAAAGGGTTTCTAGGCTAGTCTAGGCCAAGGGCCCACACGCCTTCCTTTTTCTCTCCTCACCTCCTCCTGGCCCATCAGCCTAGCTCAGCGCTGCACAGACATGCTCCAGGGAACAGCAGCTCTGCCAGGCACTCGTGACGACTCGGCCCCATGCAGAAACTGGCAGGAAGCTTTCAGAAACCTTTCTGGCATTTTGACAGGGTACTCTTACGCCTGTTGCATCCAAAATTTTTAAATTAGGGCTTGCATTTTGTCTTTTTTATTGCATTTTGGCAAGATTCACAACATGCGCCCTAAGTTTAGAAGCACATCACTTGCCTGCAAAACTGCCCCTCAGTTACCAAAGGGCCTGTGCACCCTCAAAACACGCAGAGGTGCGCACACACACATACACACACACTCACACACACACACACACTCACACAAGCACAAGACCACACCTACACTTAACATATTCATGTGTTACATGCTCACACACATACATTCACACACGGACTCTCATACAAACATACATACACTCATGAGCATGCACACACACATATACACTCACACGTACACACATAAACACATCCACACAATACATACATACTCATACATACAGCCTCACACAAACACACACTCACATATACATACACTCTTACACATACATACACTCATACATGCATTCCTCCCTCCATGAGAGATGCAGTCATTCCCGGGCTCTAGGTGATTGGTGAAAACCGTGACAATTTCAAGTCCTCCGGGGCTCTCAGAGCTGCATGGCCACAGGCTCCCCCACGGGCAGCACAGCATCTACAGAGATTGTTTCCTCCATTCCTGCCATGGCTTTGTGTCCCCACCAGGGACCTCAGAAACCCACTGGACACAGGGGCATCTCGGGGACCAGCCTGCTCCTCCTAAGTTTTCCTTCTTGGAAGTGAGAGGCCACCGATGAACAAAGGGCCCTTCTCTGTGCTGGCCACTGGACTCCGAGCTGCTTTATTTCAGGGTTGGAATCTGCTCTCTGTTGCATAACGTGCTATTCTCAGGTGCAGAAAAAGACCTGCAACTTCTGGCAAGATAAACTCATTCAACAAATTCATGCTAGCAACACTTTATTATTTTTGTTTCAAAGCCATTTCCTATGCTACCTTATTTTTATTTTTCCCTTCTTCCTGTGCAAGAGGAAACTTAGGTACTGTTCCCATATTATCCTTAGGAAAACGAAGGCTCACAGACTTTAAAGGACTTCTCCATAGATGCTAAATTCTCTTAACAGAGAGTATAAATAATGAGAAAAGCTCAGAAAATCTGTAACTTTTTCACTTAATACTGGTCCCACATATATCTGCTACCCTCCCAGGTTTCCAGGTAGTTGCAGTTACTTGGTGCGTTTCCCTGAGTTCTCCAATGAGAGGTCCAGATAAGGGGACAGAAGCAGTCTTTTCCAGCCCAGAACTGGGTGAACATCACCCAGACACACACAGCTATAAGCAAACCATCTGGGCGTCCTCAGCCCAGCTCCCTCAGAATAGCCAGAGCAGGTTTCACTCCAGTAAGACCAGCAACCCCCTAGGGAAGCGTGGAGTTTCTGAGACCCTCACAAGAAGGACGATTATTAGAGAGTCTTGCCACTAAGGATCATTAACTCACTGCCTCTTTCTGACTCCCAAGTAAGCATGGGAGAATTTGCCCACAACAGGAGTGAAAATAAACATGGGTTTTTCCAGCTAAAATGAGAACTAGCTGCTTTCTCACATGAACTACAGAAAGTACCTCCAGGGTCTGTCCACCTGGGAAAGCAACCTGGGAGAGCAGAGAGGACACTGGCCTGGACACTACAAGAGCTGCGTTCCATCCTCTGTCTGCTGGGTGGCCTCCATTTCCCCGTCTGTAAAATGGGGCAAACTGCCTCTAGAATGAGCTGTGAAGCCAGTCTATTCCAGCTCCAACATTCTATGATGTAATCCTTATCTCTCGCTCTTACCCCAACTTGCTACAGCAAGATAAGAGCTTGTGGCATTTGACACTGGGCCCAGGACTCTCCAAATTCTGCAAATGAATAAACAGAAAGGAGGAGCAGACCATACTGAAAAGCCCAACTGACCAGCCTGAACTGTGCAGCTTGGATGACAAAGCAACCAGTGACCTGCATTAACATCACTTGGTGGACCAGTGTCAATGCGGAAATGAAACAGAGCATAACCAATCGAACATAAGGAACATTGACTAATTGTTCACAGATGGGCAAATTGTCAAACCGAAGAGGAAGTGTTTGTCTTCTCCAAACGCAATTTGAGAAAGAGGAATAAAAGTGTCTCTAAAAGCAGCTTGGCTCAGGACTTTAAAAGATTGTCCATCAAACCAGAGGAAGCTGCTGCTGCCTCATGGTCTTTAGAAACCCTGGCTTTCCCCGTTTGCCCTGATCTCTGCTGCTGGCCAACCATCTTCCTTCCAGAGGGGTCAATCTATGTGGAGAATTCCCAGAGATGGTTCCAGGCTGGCTCTGCTACCACCCACGCTCTGGGTGATGCAGACACATGGACGGCTGGGGCGTCCGGGCCGCTCAGTCTGGGGAGAATGGGCAAGAGCACAGGCTCTGGTGTCAGAAGAATCAGAGTGTGACACTCAGCACAGTATTTACCTGCTGTGTGACCTTAGGTATGCCACCTAAGTCCTCTATGTCTTATAGCCTTGCCCATAAAATGTGATGATAACACCTACCTCAATGGGTTTTGGACGCTGATTTTATGAGCTACTATATATGAAGTACTTGGCTACATCATGCCATACAGTTTAAAATTTTTTATAAAAAGAACAGGGAGGGCCGGCCGAGTGGCGCGATGGTTAAGAACTGGCTTGGGATGCCAGAGGGTCCCGGTTCGGATCCCACATATGAGGGCCAGTGACACTGCCTTCCACAGCTAAGATGCTGAACAACAGCTCAACCTGGAGCTGGGCTGCCATGAGTCGCCAGCGACGGCGTAGGCTGCAGCCCCTGCGGCAGTGGGTTGCCATGGGCTACCGTGTGTAGCCAGCAGCCAGCGTGAGCGGCCAGCAGCCGCAGTGAGCGGCCGTCCAGAAGCCGGCGACTGATCTGCCTCGCCCGGGAAGAGCGCAATGATGGTGCCAACTTGGGCCAGTGAAGCAACATCCTCCACAACTAGACTGAAGAACAAAAGGACAGCAACTTGTCTGTGTCTGTTCCCCTTCCCCAATCCCCCAGCACTGTTCCCATCCCCCCAATTCCCCAATAAAAAAAAAATCTTAAAAAAAAAAAAGTTTCAGAAGGGAATATTATGAACTAATTTATGCACATAAATTCTAGAGTTTAGATAAAATGGACAGATTTCTTTAAAAGACATAATTTACCAAAGTTCACTCAAAAAGATATAGCTATCCTGAGTAATCCTATATCTGTTAAAGAAATGGTATTTGTAGCTTAAAAACTGCCCACAAAAAAATTTCAGGCCCATATGACTTCATTGGTGAATTCTACCAAACATTTAAGAAAAAAACAATACTAACACTTTACAAACTTTTCCCAAAAGCAGAAGATGGGAAACAATGCCTCCACTTATTTCAGGAACTCAGCATTACACTAGTGTAAAAGCCAGACAAAAGACACAAGAAAACTATAGATTAATTTCCAGCATGAACATAGAACAAATATCCTTATATTTTTAAGCAAACAGAATTCAGCAATATGATAAAAACTATATCATGACCAGGTGGGGTTTACCTCAGGAAAGGATAAATAATGTTGGTTTAACATTTGAAAACCAAACAATATAACTCACCCTATTAACATGGCAAAGAATCAAATCCAAATGATCATCTCAATAAATGCAAAAAGAAGATCCAACAAAAACGTGACAAAAAACACTCAGCAAACTAGAAATAGAAGAGAATTTTCTCATTCTGATAAGAGGTATCAATAATAATAATAATAATAATAATAATAATAATAAAGAACCCTAAAACTAACCTCATACCTAATGGTGAAAGAATGAATGCTTTCCCTCTCTCTAAAGGCAGGGACAAGGCAAGGACATTCACCCTTACCACTTC